CCATCAAATTTGTGCTCCACGTTGTTTTCCTTTCTCCACTTTTCCCGACAGGCCTCTAATGTCTTGGCTTGACTCGTGCATTTTCGCCCACTTCTCCTTGAATCCTTCAAACAGTCTCGGTATATGCTTGTTTCTGATTTACAGGATGCTGCAGACATTTCAAAAGTTGATGGTTTGTTTAGTATAGTGCAGTTTGTGTGTTGTTGTTGCTGTTCGGTGTTCGGTGTAATTACTCTTGGTTTGTAGCCTATTTCATCGGTATTATCATTTTATTTCGTGTACAGTATCTCTATTGGAAAGTCTGACATCATTGCGAGCGAACGCAGCACGGACAGTACCATTCGGGATTCATCTCACACAATCGAAACCCGCCAAACTTCTGAATCTGAAATCGCGGCACTGCATATTATTGAATATCGCATCGTATCATCATTGCATCGCATCAGCATACGAGATAGTCATAAAACAACGTGAGACAATCAACTCATGGGCAAGGGACTGAAAGGATATTTGAAAAAAGCCATCGGTCACAATGTCTACACTTTGACCCCTTACAGTCTCATCCGTCGGAAAACGAGGAAAAGCAAACACCAACCAGTTGACGGCCAGGATGACAGTAATATGAATCAGGAATTTTTGGAGGACGAAATACAAGATCTGGTCTCTGCTGTACAATCGAAGATTGATTCCCTTGAGAAAAAGTGCTGCGATGAAAAGGACGAACTTGATTGGAGAACTGGCTGTTTTTCTTGTGGCGATGCTGCAGCTTACCCTGCCTGCAAGTTGAACTTCCGGCAGAAGAAAAAGAACAGCTGGCGAGAGACGAAAGGGAAAGAAGAGAAGACTAACTACAGTCGATACCACGAAGATCTTTGTGACGACGATTGGGACCACTTCTGGCGATTAAGAATGTACTTCTCCCGTGTGCAATCCTGTGTCGAAAAATACTGCGACGAGTCGCCAGATACAATGGAAATTGACATTCACGTTCCCAGAGCATGCCATCTGATCCGAATCCTACAATTGCTCTCTCTTCCACGATATAGTATTGAAGATGTGCCTCAGCAAATTGTCAATATTCTCTCTGCGGCTTTGGCAGGGCCTTATCAACAACTTCACAACAGGAACAGCTATGTGTCTAATTTGAGAGTAATCGAGTGTCACGACATCCAAATAACACTTCCTACCATGCAACTTCTGCGCAATGTACTGCTTCATTCTGAGTCCTTGGAGCAATTACATTTGAATAGCTGCATTTTACCGGAAACTACAGAGCACCAGCTGCCACTTGTTCAGTTACTTGGGGACGGTTTGACGAACGCAAAGAGTATTAATTTCAAAGTTCTTTGTCTCCCGACTTGTTACTTTACTGATGGTAGTGTTGGTCATCTGATATCGCAACTCGCTTCACCAAGCCGAAAGAATGGCGATGTTTCTGAGCAGTTTAAATTGGAAACACTGATTTTGCAATCAACAGGTTGTGATCAACAGACTTTGACAACCTTGGCGTCGTGGTTGGAGCAACCAAAGTGTCTATTGCGCTTTCTTGATCTCTCCAGGTGTTCCGAATCCTTGGACCTTTCACCACTAAGCCGTGCCCTAAAAGTGCAAAATCGGCAGCAAGTAGAGCAATTTGGGAGTGGCCTCCGTCGCCTCGATCTTGCGTTCAATGCCTTGTCTGAAGAAGGAATTCGGCTCTTGGCGGATGCTCTCAAGCAAGAACAACGTCTACAAGTTCCCTCCGCCGGGAATAATCATGCGACTGCTATGAGTGGGTTAAGGAGCCTGAACTTGGCAGCCAACAGAAGTGGGGTTTATCAGACAACTACATGTCGAGGTTTTCAGTATTTGGGAGAAGCCCTGTCTCTTTGTCATAGTCTTCAATATCTGGATGTATCCTACGTTCGCTTTGATCCAGCTGCACTCAATGCATTTTGTAATGGACTTGCAGCTAATGACAGCATCACTGATTTGCGCATCCAGCGTCCAAGGTTTGTTGGCTTTCCAGAGGCGGGGACGGCTATGGGTGCTGATTGGATTTCCAGCTGGGGAGGCACAGAGCTTCTCCAGCACAGCCTCATTCCACCGTTATCGCCAGCAACATGCATGGAGTATCTTTGCCAAATATTGGTCACCTCGATGCCACAGTTGAAGCTTTTGGACGTTTCATACTCCATGGGTGTTCCAATTTTTTTCTTCGAAAACATTTGTCTGATAAAGGGGCTAGAGCAGATATCTCTCCTGGGCTATAGTGACTTCATGACGCCCTCTGTTCCAAGTAGCACTTTCGGTGACAGGAGGGACCAAGCGTTGATACGGGGGGTTTCAAAGAGTACAAATATTGTGAAAGTTTTCGGCTTGGATGGAGCTCACTGTGGGACTAGCATAGACTTTTATGTACGACTGAACAGAGGAGGTAGGAAGTATTTGCGCCAGCCGTTCTCTTCGTCACTCTGGCCACGTATTCTTAAACGATCAAATCAACAGGCAGATGTGCTCTATCATCTGCTGAGAGAAGGAGCTGTTTCTGTAATGTAACTATTGTAGCCTTGAGATCCTCATTCAAAATTTGTACTAATGAGCTGATGAATATTATACTGCATGTATTAATACTTTCAGCCTAGTTCCTAGACAAAGTTGCCGTAGTCAAAAACGAAATGAAAGCACTTTCCTCCAAACGTAGAAAGTCGATCACCATCAGAGAGATTGGTGGAAGTAGGCACAGGAGGAGCGCTTTCAGCTTCATTCAACAGAACTTTATCAATCCTCGATGTCCAAGTTTCCACCTCTCCATTGCATATATTGGCATTATAGCTGGGTATTTTGATTTGGGGCATAGGGTCGATAGCCTCACAAGTCGAGGCAGAAGAAAACGAAGACTTTGATGAAATGGAATTATCAGACATTCTCTTCGCTGCTTTCGACTTTATCTTGGTCGTTCTCATGGACAAAGACAATGTTTTGTTGCCCTTGATGAAACTTGGGTGTTGGTAGGCGCCCGATGAAGCCCGTGTGTAGCCATAGAAATAGAGTTGTCTTTGAAAAGACTTCCATTTGCTCTGTCGGAAGTAGAACGGGACCACCTTTTCCATGAAGGCATCTAGATCATGTACTTTGAATCCCCTTCCCGAGTTGACCCACGACACGATATCTTCCATATCTGACTTCTCTGTATCTTCGAGCATTGTATGCAGCTTCCACCCAAATGGTATCTTTGATGTTCTAAGACTTCCATCCTGCTGCATGGATAGCTCGAGTAGCGAATTCTGTTGGGACAATATGTCGCTTTCTGTTGTCATTTCAGTTGTCATTTTTTGCCTTTTGATTTCCGAAATATCTTTTCTTGTCATAGAGACGTTTGTTTCTGTGAATGATGATAACTTTATGAGAGGAACATTGAAGGCTCAACTCGCGTCCGGGATTTTGGGCACCATATATGTTGGCTAAAGGATTTGACACGATCATAAATAAGAGTCAAACGCGGAGCGATTAACTTCTCTAGAATTTTACACGATTCTCGAAATTCACTAGGAAAACTGTGCGTCAGACATATATTGCGAAACCGCAGCCAAGACCAAGCAAAGCGAACTCACGTGATGGGATTATTTGATGCAACTGTGATTGCAACGTGATATATTTAGCATGCAACTGTGATTGCATTTTGGAGTGGGAAACAGTTGTTTTGATCATGCGCTAAATAAAAATGCAAAAGTATCCAAGTGTCATTGGACCTCGGAGACGATGACGATTTGGCAATATCGCCCTGTATCAGTCTCGGAGATGATGACGATTTGACAAGATTCCCCAAACTCATATGGAAAAACTAGCCTCACAAAATCGCAAAAACGGATCCCAAACCAAGCTAATCAGATTTGATCATGTACTTCTCGACCAAGATTGTCACCTTCCTTACCCTTGGAGCTCTTGCTGCCATGCCTACCATGGCCCAGCGTGGCGGTGGCGGAACACGTGGTGCTGGTGGCCAACGTCCCGGCGGTGGTAGACCAGGCCGTGGTCCCGGGGGCCCGTTTGCCAATGCTACCTTTGTCGACATCACTTGCAGCTCGATCGGTGACTTGGATTTGACATGTGATCCTCGTGGCGAATCGGAGGACGGATTCTTTGTCTGTCGAACTATAACCGACGGAGAAGGCGTCGAACGCAGCAGAGTAAAGTGCATTCCTTCCGACGGATCCGTTGAAGGGGCTGACGAATGTGGCTGCTGCGGAGAGGATTGTCCGGTAGCATGTGACACCTGCCCATGCACTACTCGTCGTGGTGACCCTGGAGCCTACGTCTTTAGTGAGGATGATGACGAGCCCTTCTGTGCGCCATTTAATGCCGCCATGATGATGGTATACAAAAAGGATGATGTCTCCTGCCTTGCGGATTGCAGTCTTGCAGAGTAATCAACTGAGCTTTCGATTGCTTTCTTTAGACTAGCATCTTATAGTTGAATCCATATATATCCATCATCATTTAAAATACAACTCGTACTATCATCTTGTGACAGTCGCAGAACTTAGGTTCCCGGCATCCTACAATAAATTTCAAAACCAGTACTGCATCATATGGTCAATTTGAAACCACCCTTTCAAGGAGACAATCTAAGGGGGTCGACAGGGCTCGTTGGTCGCTCTTTCGGCACGTGCTACAGATGCTTATACCTTGTCCGGTATCTTGTAGTGCGCTATGTTCAACTCGACTCTTATTGGTAGAAAGGAGTTTGGGTGTGATGTTTTAGCCTAGTAGCTGCTCGCATCCAGCCAGAGGACACTCCGACCATTTCTGACCCGGCGCGTCAGTTGCAGTAGTTGAAGGAGGCAGTCACAAAAGAACCCCACTTCAAGCTACATATCAACATTTGAAACGATCGAGGCCTACCTCCTTCAATGAGCACAAACATTTTGTACGATCGAATGACACAGACAAACTACTCTCAAAAAACAAAATCACAGACAAAACAATACTCAGAATAGCAAACCAAAGATTTCCTGAACATGTACTTCTCAAACAAGATTGCCATTTTCCTTGCTCTCGGAGCCCTCGTTGCCATGCCAGCCACCGCCAAGCGTGGGGGTGGCGGATTCCGCGGCGGAGGTGACCGAGATGGTGGTCGCCGTGGTGATAAACTTGTCCGTGGCTCTTTTGCCAACGCAACCTATGTTGATATCACATGTGATGTGGACTTCTCCTGTGATCCTCGTGGTCCAGCCGAAGAAGGCTTCTTTGTTTGCCGTTCCTATACTAATAGCGACGGGGAAACGAAAAGTCGAGCCAAGTGCATTCCTTCCGATCGCTCCATTGAAGGTTCCGACGAATGTGGGTGCTGTGGAGAGGATTGCCCCTTACCATGCGATGCCTGTCCCTGCACCACTCGTCGGGGAACACCTGGAGCATATATCTTGGATGAAGACGATGATGAACCCATTTGCGTGTCTTCAAAGGCGGCCATGATGCTTACTTTCAAAAAGGATGAAGTCTCTTGCTTCACCGACTGCAGCCTCGCTGAGTAAGCAATAGAGGACAAAATAGTTTCATTGTCTAATCTAGATCAAAACTATATGGAATAGTTCAACTCGTTTTGCAATTTTTGTACAACGCACTGCTTTCCTTGAATCATACAAGCAATTCAGCTCTATGCTGGACCTCATCATTTTATTTGATTCTACTCCAGAATACAAAGTGGCTCATACAAGGAATAAACAACAGTTCGTGGTAAGTGGCTTATAAATCGATACTCTTACTTCTACGTTAGTGTCACGGTCCGCTCACGAAAGAATGTCTTGAATTGTGGCCATATCGGAGAGCACATTGGCCGAGCTTCGCAAGATTGGAACAGCTAAAAGCGCTGCTGTTCCTTCTCCCATTCGCAATCCCATTGAAAGAGCTGGAATGTTATCAATGGGCAATCCGTTTGCCGTTGCAATTTCTTGTATCTTTTCCAACGCAGCTCGTTGCCCTATCTCGGCAGATTGACTGGTAAAGAACAATACATTACAAACATTGGGCGAAATGGCGACGGCAACCAACGCTGCTGC